CTCAGTCCTGGGCTCAAGTGATCCTCCTGCCTCAGCCTCCCGAGTAGCTGGGACTACAGGCATGCGCCACCGTGCCTGGCTAATTTCTTCTATTTGTAGTTGTTTGGCTAATTTATTTCTATTTGTAGTAGAAATGGGGTCTCGCTCTTACTCTAGGCTGGTCTCGAACTCCCGAGCTCAAGGAATACTCCCGCCTCAGCCTCCTAGAGTGCTAGGATTACAGGCGTGAGCCACCGCACCCGGCCTTCCCCAGTTTTTTTGCCTATGTATTTTTCTATTACAGTACCTAATCCAGGATACCACATTACATTTAATGGTCATATCTCCTTAGTCTCCCCTGATTTGTGATAATTTCTCAGTCTTTCCTTTTTTCTAATGACCTTGACAGTTTTGAAGAATATTGGTCAAGTATTTTATAGAATGTCCCTCAATTCATATTTGTCTGATACTTTCTCATGATTAGATTATGGTTATTGTTTTTGCGGGAAATACCATAGCAGTGAAGTTGTTTCCCCTGCCTCCTCTACCCCTCTCTCCCTAGTTTTTAATGTTTGCTGTTCTGCATAATCCCTTTCTTCAAGTTGCATTTTTTTCTACAGGTAGTTATTTATTTTTGATTCTTTCATACTAGAGATTTTCTCAGACATCTGATAATCCTTAATTGTCTGCTTATATTTAAGAGAGGGGATTGAAAAGCTGATTAGAGGTTATAAAATGTGAGTGGAGTTTGTTGACTGTTAAGTTCACTGTAGGGTGATCTGGTTGGGCGACTTAATTAGGGAATGTCAACATTACTAACTTCAGGTTTTTCCTTCTTGGGCTGGTCAGATTCCATAAAGAAGGATCCTCCATTCTCTCTCCTGGAGGACAAAGATTAGGGAAAGAGGACTGGGATATGTTTACTTAACTGATCCATTTTCAATGTAGTACCCTGCACTTTACTGTTGCTTGTATCCGCCAGTCTAGAAACCCTCTGTTTAACAATAGCCAGAGAAGAAACCTTCAGTCTTATATCTGGATGGTAGAGCCGCAGGCACTTGGTTTCACTAGTTGGGAAGAAAATCTGATGATCTGAAGCTTCTGAAAGAGAATTTCAACGAGTCCTCATTTTATTTAGCTCTTCTTCTACCTCTACTTCCTGAGCATTTTGGAGATTCTGTGATATAAATTGTATTGATTATAAGTTTACTACAGATAGGTTATGATTCAGTCTTCTTGGGTTTGCCTAGTCATTTGTTGCTCTTCTGTCTGCTTTCCGGGAAAATTATCTTGCTTTTCTTCCTGATCTAAGTACCCCCACCAAAAAAAATTATCTTGCTGTTGTCTCCCCTATTTCTTTCTTTTTTAGTCTTTTTGTGGAATGTGCCTTTAAAAAAAAATATCCATTTACTTTTGGTTTTTTTGGAGATTTTAGGTGGGAGTGAAAGTAGGTATGTGTTTAGCCCACCACCTTCATCCAAAAGTTTGGCAAGAATT